CGCGCACAAGCGACTGTGTGTCAGGACCAACATATTCAGGTCAAATACCTCGATTGAATTATCGAGCGTTTGCGATGCCGTGAGCAATTTATTAACGATCGAACCGGACGAGGCTGAGGGACGCGTCGACTTGACCGTACCGCGGTGTGATAACCGTATATCGAGAATGCAAAAAGTCTCGCGACTTCTTTCGATTTGCGTTTCTTCTTCTCAGCGACAATCACACGTCAAATTTGAAATCAATTGTTTCAACCCGAAAAACTGTGGAAGAATTGTTTCGCAAAGGAAAGATCGCCGTGTAAAACGCACAAGTTGCAATCAAGATAACGAATCTAATCAATCGACGACACCCGGTATGTTCGATATTGCCCACATATCGGTTTCTTTGACGAGAGTTGTGTGTTATCGGGTTTATATCCCTCGACTCCGATAGATAAGACCTTTGACGAGATCTGGAGATGTTGAAGCAATAATAATATTAAACCGAACAAATATTCGCGTTTTGAGGTTTTCATCCGACTAGCAATGTTTAATTTTAATTGGCGATCCGTGGGAGAAACGTAACTTAGGAAGAGATCTGAGGGGGTGTATGTATCTCGATTCGCGCGAGGAACCTTAAAAATGATCCTCGTTCGAGAGAGGAACGGAGAGAGAGACGGAGAGAGAGGCGCACCGAGTGTTTAAGATGAAACAGAAAAAAACAAAGGGAGCGGCGAGAGAAAAGATTTTGTTCGCGCATTGAAACCTTTTTTCGGTCTCGGCGCGTCCATGCTCAGACATGTACACATATACACTGCGATATACACACACACACACATACAGACATAGACACTGTTACGACTCATTATTATTATTATTATTATTATTATATTATTATTATGTTATTTAAATTAATATTAACACGCGTTAACGCTATGATAATCCTTTGTTTATTTAGTTTTTAAGTGTAATAATTATAAATTAGTTCACACTATCCTTTGTATATATATATTCGGAAGTCTCAATAAAAAATTTAATAAAGATTTAAAAAAAAAAAAAGAACACTATATATATATACATACATATATATATATATATTTATATATATATATATGTATATATATATAAAGTGTGCAGCCTCTCCCCCATTTCATTACCACTGCCAATGCGATTTACATAATGTAAATGATATTATGTAACGACACAAATAAATGATGTGTAATATATATATAAAATATCGAACTATGTTATGTGTTATTTCTATGTTGAACTACTTTCTTATAGGAATACGGCGAGAGGAAAATCCAAGAGAGGGAAATCACAACAAAATGGTTGTTGCTTTTTTTGTATGCGATTTATTTGCAGTTTGTTCATATAATTGGTAACTCTGCTCTGATCTCTCTCGGATATAACTAGTACTAAAAACCTAAACAACGTATGAAACTTTATACATGGCTAATTTATCTTAGTATAGTGCTAAGGCGATTATTTACAATTTAAACGTGCTTTTGTGAGCCGCGCTTAGACGATGCGTATTAAGAATAACGGATATCCTTATACGCGGATTCCCGTCACTACGGCGTACAACATCGCGCGCGGTGTTCTCATTAAAAAAATCCAGGCGTCCGAAGGAAGTTTGGATTCTATCTGTGCATTTGTGTGTGACCCGGATGTTTACACCGGAATTCATGTAGTTACATAAAATACTTCCCTCTATGCGCTTTTTCAAACTCTTTCGATCGCTAAGAATATAACCGGATTGTCGAACATAACAATGCCTGGATTATTATTATTATTATTATTACTGCAAAAAAATTATTTAGATTGCGAATCGTTTCTCTCTAAAAATCGACACATATATATATATCTCCAAAACTGTACAATAAAATTTTGTTTACTCTCTTAGAAGATATTTTCGAGTTCTCTTTTTTTCTTGACAGCGATCGCTACTTTCATATTTCACGAAAGACCTTCCGTTACAATCTTGTAATGTGTGAAATCAAAATTAGAGAGTTTTTTATACGTATTTGTTCCGGTTGATTAATTTAACATTGATTAATTTAACGAAGAAAAAAGAATTCGTAACAGTTTCGAAATGATAATAAAATTAACATAGAAATGATAAATAAACATAATCGTGCACACAAAAACGTATTAACAAATATAAGAGGAATGAAGATATTGCACTACATAAAATCCGTGACGAGTTTTTTTAAAAAGACCCTTCGCCCTGGGACGTGATGACAAATATTCTTTGAACAATAGTATATACCGAGCACAGTATATTTATACATATATATATGTATATATATATAATGCAATGTGTGTGTACAGGTATATATATATATAATTTCCGTACATTATACATTCAACACAGTGTATAATATATCATATTATATTATATCTATATTTTACATATAAATGTTATATATGATATATTATAAATGATATAAATTCTATAAAATATTGAAATATATAATGTACGGAGTTAGTTTTTACAGACTAACTGTATAATCAAATAATATATATATATAAACACGCTCTTAACATATAACTAAATTAAGGGCGAGTTCGATTTTTAATAAGAAAACATTTTTTCAAATGCGTTTCAAAGAAGATTAAGAATTTATTTAAACGATTCTAATTGCAGAATAATTCAGTTGCGACGTGTTAATAACAAAATATTTTTTTGTGCGCGAATACGTAAGTCGATTTCTGAATGAATTTTCGCTTGTGTGTTTTACAATTAATCGCGTGATTACAAGATAAATTTATAATTCATTTATAAAATAATTTTATAAACAATTTATTTGTAAATTTGCTAAAATACTCAAATACTGCCAGTTCTCGGCATTATTTTGTCTATGGAAAATAAACTCTTTTCCATTTGTGTTAAAAATTTTAGATTTTCCTTCAATGAAATTTATTCCAAGAGCGTCAGATTGTTTTTACTGTATATATATATGTACAAGATACAATTTGAAATTAGAAAGGGAATACAGAAATATATATTGTTCACCACGATGTTTTTACTCATCAAACATAAAAGAAAGATATCGTTTAATAAAAGTGATACGTTAACTCAGCTAAGGGCTCGTTGTGGCGTCACGCGAGATAGCACATCTTCCTGTCGCGCGTACGGAAACAGTGTGTTCGAAAGACATTTTTCTGCAGCGAATTGCGTCAGTATTAGCCATTAAACACCATAGTCGTCTCATATATATCAAAATAAATTATACTCGTTCCACAAATGCCGAAATTTTACACCGCATTTTGAAGAATCATACAAGATGACATTTCTGATGGAACTGTGGACCACAGGATTTATACAATTTTATTAACAATATATTATATATAAATTTCATTTTATCTCACTATAAAAATTTGTAAGAGCACATTTTTTGCAAGGCTAAATTGGAAGGAATTCACTACAGAGCAATGTTTTCTCGAACGAAACAGAGATCGTTTCGCGCGTTGCCCGTCATTCAAAAAAATTACAGTTTTACGTTAAATAAACTGTAATTGTTCGCTTTGCGCGAGCCCGTATCTCTTAGGTCTTAGACTATAAAATGTCGCGCAAAAAACACGCTAAACGCCACTCGGAATATTGGAAACGCGCGCGCGTTTATACATTAGTTCGTGCCTTTTCGGAAAAACGTCATTTTTTTAATTAAGCGATCGATAAAAACCAAGTTTTGGAAAAAGTTTTTTGTGGCGTTAAAGCCGCGTTTCATGCGCGTTTCAATCGCAGTTATTTTATCAATAATAATTCGTCCTATACTCCTAATGCGCGCAGGGTGTGTGTGTGTGTGTGTGTGTGTAAGTGTGTGCTCTTAAAAATCTATATGTATATATACAAACAATGTGTATATTACGCGCGCTTTGTGTGTCGTGCCGAAGGCCGCCGTCAGTATATGCGAATACCAGTCGACCGAGAACTAGATGCAGGCACGTGTCTCTCTGTGACGTTTCGGTGCTGCAAAGTGCTTCGACGCGATTTAGCCGCGGGCAAGGTGGACGGACAGCGCAGAGGGAAACTGCTGGCGAGAAACAGAAAATTGACCGCTCAAACCTTGGTCTCGCATTCAAGGTTCGTTAAGCGGCGTCGACAGTGGCGGATTCAGAAAATCAGAAAACTAATTAGTGTTTTGTTTTTCCTTCAAAACAGGCCTGCGGTTTTTTTTTTCTTTTTTTTTTTCAATTTTTTATGATAAATTTTATACGCAACATGCGGACTTTATCGTAAAATATAAAATGTAAAATAATAGAAGAATGTAAGAAAAATATTGTACAAAAAATGAGTCTCGAAAAGAAAGAAGCGAACGAGATGAGATAGGTATCTCTCATATAGGTGGATGTACAAGTCGACATATCAGACTTTCCAACTTTTCGACTTTTAAATAGATTTTCTCATATATATATATATTGCCGTGTATATATAAATAGATAGGAAAGGCGGCATCCAAAGAACAAAGCCAGCAATTACATCTGCCAGTGTGGAAAGAAATTCTATAGAAAAGATTCTCAAATATATAAAATAACATAGAATAATAATTCCACATATATAGTTAAAAAATGTGTAAAACATATTACGATGATATTTTATAACTATGCGGGAGTTGGAAAATGATATCGATGGATAACGATAATGAGTATCTCGCTTGCTATATTTCCGCATCGTTTCGACGAATTTTGTCTAACTAATGCCAAAAGGAGAGAGAGACAAAACAATATAGGGTTTTTTACTTCGTGTTGCAAACACAAAGTGTAAACAAAACACGAAACGAAGACTCCCAACAGTCTTCGTCTTCGGTATAAAGTACAATCCGCGTGAGCCACTGTCGACACCACACAACCCGACCCCATATTATCACGCACTTTGATGACAACGCATTCTTTAGATGCGATTAATTCCAGCTTTTTTTTACGAGGAGACCTATTTTTCTGCGATTAATTGTACATGCGCACCGACATTTTTTTTTTTAACCGGGCGTTTTTTTCTTCCGTCCGCAAATGCACGAGACCGTGCTGCGGTTATTATAGCAGATTAGTTAGCAAATCAAGAATTTTCTGTAACTCGTCGCCGAACGATTCCGTTTTCCGCGGAGTCGTCGTCTACGTTGCCTCGTCGCCGTAGGCATCTTGTGACACCACCGTGGATCGCTCGGTACACGGCATCATCATCTAAGTCTCCAGACCGGGTACCAGACTGTGGAAGGTCTGTATATCGTGGATAGCACGACCGCAGCTTTGGTTGTTGTTGCGCTCGAATTTTGTAAGGTCGAAATGCTCGTCCAATGACTGTAGTTCCACCAATCGTTCCTCCAGCGTCCTCGAATCGGCAAATCTGGTGAAGTCGCAGAGCCGATCAGGATCGACCTCCATCATGTCGGTGACCGGTCGTGAAAGATTTGCGTCATCCAGATCCCCAGGAAATAGCACGGAGTGGCAACTTGTGTCATTGACGCCGTTGCTTGTCCCGGTGTTGGAGGTGGTGTTCGCGCTCACGGCGCTGTCCGATCGCACGTCACTCAAACGATCCTCCGGGAAGCTCAGGTGAAGAGTACCATGATGCGAGGCTGTCGGTTCCGAATGCATCTCGTCTATGTGCGAGAGCAAGCGTGGGGTCGGCGGTAGGATGTAGAAATCGCTGAACATGTCGTCCAGGTCGTCGTGCCTCTGCCTTTTCTGACTCGGCTCGTCGTTCCTTGTGTCATCAGCCAATCTGTATATAAAAAAAAAAAAAACAAAAAAACAAATTAACAATATAACGGATTTTTTTTCAATTATTACATTAGAATGTAAGTAGTAGAAATTTTTGTCGCAACATTTACGTCAAACACAAACTAATCGTTTTTACACGTTACCATCAATTTTATTCTAAAAAAAACAACAAACAAATATCAAAAGGACGTAACGACGAACATATTATTTTGCACAAATCACAAATCCAATAAAAACGCGAATACAAATGTTGAAAACAATATAAAAACAAAAAAAATTTGCATTTACTTACTAAACTTTATATATATATATATAGTATAAATCCAATTCGCATCATCTTAGATTTAACGACAATAGAACCGATCAAGTTTGAGCTTCCTTAATAAAAAACTTATTGCTTCCATCTGCATATCTGACACTATGTTACGTATCGTATATTCTAACAGCAGTTGCAAATCAAAACACGTTTTGCACGAATGGAAAAGAGAAATAAAGATTAAGCAGGACAAGCAAGCTCTTTTGTCTTTGATTAGCAGTTTGAGTGCTCGAAAATATTTCGCGCACCTTTTCCTCGAGGATGTGTCCTCGGTATCGTCCATGTATGCCGCGACAACCGGGAGCGCGTTGTAATTTCTCCTTTCATTTTCGCGCTGCAATCGTCGCACCGCGTTGTTTATAAGAACCGATCGGCACAGACTCGTCTCAGGATCCTCGATTTTCCTTAGCTTGCCGGCTGAGATCTTCAGTAGACGGCGACGTTCTTCGCGAGCACGGTACTTGGCAGAAATCATTGTGGGTCGACTTCTACGGATCACTAAGTCTTCCTCCAATCTCATTTTAGTGTCTGCAATCAGAAATAGGAACAAATATCGTCAGAATTGTTTGTCAATCGTTATTATTGAGATAAAAAAATTATATATATAAAATAAAACATATATATAACTTATATTTATATAAAATAAACCTTATATAATAATATAAAAGTCTATACGATAGAAGTAACGTGTGGAACAGCCTGTACTTGGACGAATGATTAAAACACCGACACAGAGTCGCACGCACTCAATATTAAATATTATTTATAACGCGCGACGCGCAATCTAATACAAGCTCGTGAATATTCCCGTACAAAATAGTATTCCATGCCAGTTTGTCAAAACAAAACATCAAATAGTTCACGGTGATCGACAATCAATCATTTGTGCTATTTATCATTTATTAATCAATGCGTAATTAAATTATAATTATTAATAAATCACGCTTGTTACTATATACGTATTTTTCTCCCGGATTGTCGCTTCTGTCTTTAAACGGAACGCAAGTATTGTCTAACGGTATACACAGAAAAACGAGTATATATAAATAAAAAACAGACGCGGAACGGTTGTTTAGCGGTAACTTCAGTGGCCGCGCGCGCACTTACGCACTCGCCGCGCCGTACGCACTCGCCGCCGATATATTAAATGGTAGGAGAGAGAGGAGGCCTCTTTTTCTTTTCCCCTGTCGTCATCGTCAACGCGACTGACCCAGTTTTACGACGGCGACGCTTCCGTCTTTCCGTCGGTTGCGGCGCAAATAAATCTCGCGACCGTCCCCCCTGCTTCTGTCCTCGGAAGGGGGCAAGAAGGGAGAGAAGAAATATACGCGCGTATGTGTACCGCTATCGCGCTTTACTGTCTTACAATCAAACAACGACGTGGTAGAGCATCGGAATATAGTTTTTCGCGAATCTCGTTTGCGCGCGATTCCGCAAATCGCGCTATAACGGTTCTCCGGAAATTGTCGCTTATTATATCGCGAAATTTCCCTCGTTCCGGAGAACCTTCGAATTGCAATTTCTGCGTTTTTTTCTCGCAAATATAAGTGGGAGGTTTTTTTTTATTTTTTTATTTATTTATTCTCTCGATCAATCCACAAAATCAAATTCCATCACATCTTATCCCCCCAAAAATAACATATCGCTCTTGTTTCTATTGAAAATGGACTTCTCCTCCATCGTGAAAGTGTGTCAATAGAAAGATTTTCGCGCACGTTGCCGCTTTTCCTTTCTTCTCTCTCTCTTTTTCTTTTGTGCCGCGTCGCTTTTTCTTCCGTCGAAAACTTCATCTTTCAATAAAAAAAAAAAAAAAAAGTGTTCTCTTTCTCTTTTCTCGCGAACGAAACGCTTTAAACCGTCATGGAAGTGACTTCCGATCGGTCACGAGATCATTTCCGGTTTTCGACGAGAGTATATACGTAATACCCGCGCGAAATGCCAACACTCGAAACCGCGCCCGATTCTCGCTTAATATCCAATCTCCGATCGATCCCGCGCTCTCGCGTGAAAATTGTTAATTCGCCGGTTCCTACACGAGATTGGTCGATAGCCACGGTCATCTATTTTCTTGCGGAAGGTCCTTTGCCTAATCGATCGCGCGCGCGCACACACCGCGCGCCTTTCAAGGAAGTCAATTAAAACGCACGTAGAGTTAACGATTTTATTTTGAAAGTTTTACCACACACATACGATGGTAAAACACCCTCGCCATATTTCCATTGCAATACCATGTGAGTAGCATTGATTAATTTTTTACGGTTTTTTAAATCACCTTCAACCCTCGCATTTATTTATAAGTGTTACAGGAAGTCTCTCGGTTTCTGTTAAAGAGCACGAAACCGAGAGTACGCATATATAAATTATTTCCAGACATAATGATCGTCAGAGAGTCACGCAAAAAATCATCGTTGTCGAAAAAAACAAAAATTCATCACATCGCCAGAAGATGTCGCGCGTATTTCCTTGCGCGCTTCCAAAGATGGCTGTCGCGCGAAGCTCCAGCCGTGGTCGAAAGAATTCGAATACGACACTTGTTGCTACTATACCGATATCGTGCGTGTCGCAGAAAAAAATCGATCAAATTTCACAGCTTTTGCCGCCAAATTCCGCTCTTTTTAAAAGAACAATATACTTCGCGACGGCAATTATTTTTTGTCCTTTCAATACGAGAGAAACAACGACAAGCTTCCAGGTATGAAACATTTCACATCTCGTCACTCCCTACGTATAATTACTTAAGTGTCACATATGGGATTTTCGGTTTATTGCATAGTGACACTCAGAAAGTCATGTTCTTTGTGGTCACCAAGTATTAAAAAAAAAATATTCATAAGTATGGTAAAAATTTAAAACCGAAAGATCCCTTAACTATGGGGAAACTATATGACGCTTTAAACTTTTAAACCGCTCTCCTCTAAAATTTGCGTTTTGGAGTTACGGGATTATACGTAGGGAGTGACGATCTATAATAAATAATTTTGCATTTGTTACAAACGTTATGGCTGTCGCAATTAGAGAAAAAATTTTGATTTAAAATATCGAAGCGAAAGAAAACAACAACAAGAAAAAGTCAGCATTAAGAAGATTGATATACAATTAATCTCGACTCGATCGATCGAGAAATATAAATACAACGTGAAATAAATTTAAAACGACAGCAAGAATTGACGAGAGAGTGTGGAAAGAGAACGAAAATCGAAAGTTAAGCATAACGTATCGAGATACGTCCGAGTATTGTAAGATCCTGTTTGTGCGAAAGATGCGAGAACGAATCTGCAATACCGACGTAGCCGAAATCGGAGCAAGAGTCGAACGGGTGTAGATATATAGATAGGTAATGAGTACCTGAAATAAGATATTAGGATGAGGGCGTGCATGATGAAAATGATAGGTGCGTGCGAGAGAAGAAGAAGACTGAGAAGGGAGAGACATGATAGAACAGAGTTAGAGAAAAGACAGAGGAAAAGCGGAAAAGAAAGTGATAAATCACGAACGGGTGATATACTAAAGAGAGGCAAGCGTGTTTCGATTAATTTCTGTGTAAATCTGTTGTAGCAGCGGTCTGTGCCGCAAAGTAAATTTATATTTGTGTAACAAATGTGTGTGAGTGAAAAAAGAAACAACCATCCTGACTAAGATTCTTACAGTATTGTGTCCTCTCGTCATTGGAGGATTACTTAATTCGTCGACGCAGATAAAACAGAGCGAGAGCGAGTACGCAAAAAAGTAGAGAGAGAAAGAAATTGTTTCTTTTTTTCTGCGAGAGAGAGAGAGAGAGAGAGAGAGAGAGAGAGAGAGAGAAGAGGGGAAACAATCTTCTCTCAGATCAATAAAGAAGCATGTGCATTTTTTCTCGAACGAACACGATGTGCAAAGCAGCAATTGAGAGCGCCGGTTTAAAAAGCTCGAGTTCCGTAATCTAGAGAAAAGAAGTAAACGACACGCAACAACAGCGCAGCATAACGTGAAAGATTTTTTTGATAGCGGTGACGACCGACCGAAGAAAAAGAAGGGATGAAGAGTAAGAGAAGGGGGGTAGGTGGTGGACGCGCTTCGTACATCGAGAGAGGCGATTTTACGCTCGAGGTGCGCCTCGAGACTAACTTTCTCTCCGCGGGGGGGAGGGAAAAACCGCCATGGATACGGCGTTACCTAACCCGACCCTAAACTGACGCGCGGCGAAGTCCGCCTTGTGCAGTGTGTGTGGCTCTGACGACTCTCTCCCCCACCGATCTCCCCCCGACGACGGTTCTTTACCCTTTCCCTAAGCGACCATCGCCCTTCCCGATTTCTTCCTACCCTCCCGCCGTTTATTTACATATGCTAACACACATTGTCGTCGTCGTACGGCCGGTCTCGCATGCGCTCTTCTTCGTTCTGCTGTTTATAATCTCGCGAGAACGAAAATGTTTTAAGGTTTTTTAACGTTACAAAGGTATCGCGCGCCTTAACGTAGCGGGTAGATGTTGAAATTAAATTTAAGAGAGAGAGAGAGAGAGAGACAGAGTGTCACAGAACCATCTAGAATTTAACTCTCTGGCAAGTAAAATAATATAAAAATGTTCTCTCGATGAGAAAAGCAACATTTTTGTTTTCGGATATTGAAAACGAATTTTCTATTTGCAAAGAGTTAAAATTGTTTAACTAAACAATTTTATATTATATTTTATATTGTATTTTACTATGTAAAATACAATTCTGATTAGAGGAGAATCTGTTTATAGCGATGTGGTTGTCGATCAATTAACGCTACAATGAAACGCAAATACAAATTTTGAAGATATCGATTTTTACGAGAGCTCTTCGACATTCATATTTCTTTTACAAGAAAATCCATTTCTTGTTTGCAGAAACGTAACTTGTACGAGATATATAATTAAAACTGCTTAACATCAACAGTGAAAAAAAAAAATGCGGATCTTTAGCGAGATCTCATCGAGAGAAAGAATAATGACCTTGACCATCGTTGACAATTATCTGATCACTGACTGGTATCATAAGCCCTCATTTTCTGGCCGCTATTTAAATTTCCATTCGTACCATCCTAGTTGTCAGAAAATTGGAGTGATCATTGGTTTGATTGACAGGGCGTTTTTCCTTTCACATCCTAGATTTCATGAAAANAATTTCCATCTCATTATAAACATCCTTTTAAACAATAATTATCCGTTACAATTGATCTTNGATGTGATACGCAAACGTCTTAAAGGCTTATTTAACGGTACTGTGGGGTGTGAAGGTCGGCTGAGGCGTGTTCTTGAGGAGGGGAATGAAAATAATAAAAAATTTTTTGTCGTCCCTTATGTGCGAGAATTTGCGAATGGTGTGGCTAGTTTTGTTAGATCTAGATCAGATAGGAGGCTTGCCTTTGTTAGNGGAAACAAACTAACAAGATTCATTCATGTTCACAAAGATCCTTTGCCTTCTGTATCTAGATCTAATGTTGTCTATCANATAAAATGTAACGACTGTCCGGCTTCATACNTAGGACAAACAAAAAGACGACTCAATACACGCATCAATGAGCA